GGACTCAGGAACACTCCGTTGTTTAAAGGCCTATATCCTCAAAATTATTGCAGTAAATCAAAAAAATCTTTTGAACTTATTAACTAACTTTTTACGCTCTTTTCAAAACCACAAAGGTCCCACAAGTGATATATAGGCACTTTAACAGTTATTCTACGAACTCGAGTCGAATATGAGCTGATTTTTCAATTTTGTTTATGTTTTATCTTCGCTCTTTCGTCCGATTATTTTTTCAAAAATACTATAGCCTATAAAATTATTTAACCATTTTAAATTTTAAAAATTCATTTGCTAACCTGTAAACAATTTGTAGGAGTTTTGTTATTGTGTTTTTAATCCTGTGAAGACTATAAATGCATATGGACAACAGGACGTATAAAGTCGATAAAATATTGTTCGCTCGCTTATTTTCTTTGATCAGCCAAACAAATCTTCGGAAATGTTTTCAACAAAGTGCATGCAAAGTCAAGGAACAAATATTCGTGCAAGGCCAGGGAGAACTTAATCAAAGTGTTGAAAAAGGACAAGAAAATTCATATTATATTGCCTTCGCCAAAAATCTTTAAGAAATAACAATATATACTTTTTGCTGCAGGCGAAGTGAAATATTGCAACAAATGGGCGAGAAAACGTCAAAACTACAAATCTAAACATGAACAAAAAGCTTTTATTGCTAGTTGAAATAGTTCAAACCTTAGTGTAATTCACAAGTTATGCAAAGATAATAACCACAGTTTACAAATGACTTGCTACAGCTGACGTATAGAGATAAGAAATTTCAGGAAAATCTTGACATGTTTTCTCTAGTTAAAATTAAAGTTATCTGTCGAACAGCTGTCCGCCCTGCTATATCCGTGCTTCATACGATGCATTATTGATCTGGGGCCGGTTGTACGAAAGCCGGATAGCGCTATCCACCGGATAGTGTTTTTTCAACCTTTGTAAAATGCTTGAAAAACAATGAAACTACGGATAAAGACGACACAAGAAGTATAAAAACATTTAACTTATAAATACTAAACTTTAATACGAGTTATACCAAATCAACGACTGATTTAACAAAGCTTGAAAAAATCACTATCCGATGGAAATCGCTATCTAGGAACTGACGTGCTGGCTAGGGATGAGCCGACAAGAACATGTTAACGTTGTGGGCCCCTGCCCTCATGGGCCCCTAAAATGAACACATTGGAAATGATAAAAATATAGATTTTAATTTTGAAAATCAAGATTAAGATATTGTATATATATTTTAAAAATCTAAATTTATGAAAATATTACCGAAAATTTAACAAAGTACGGTACATTAATTTCAAAGTTACTGAAAAATGGTATGTCCGGAATTTCTTTTACCCCGAGCTCGCCAACAAAACTAATTTGCGACTGAAATGTTTCATGTTTGATCAGTAATACCCCCACTCCAATCTTGATCCATCCATCGCTGAGCCTGGGCCCCATCAGACGTTGCTCATTCGTCGTCGTTTTCAAGACCCCAACACGTCCCTGGTGCTATCCGGCCTCTGGAAGATAAACTATTCGTAACTAATCCATGCACTGACCGGATCCGGATAACTTATCCGCTTTTTGTAAAACCGACCGCAAAAAAATGTTTTCCTGTGCTGTCGGTAAATAATATTTATACATGTTAAATATTTATACCTGGGCTGGAACCTTACTGCTTGCAGTACCAAAAGTCCACTCGATGTTATTGTAGTAAAATATCGAAAACGAGTTGATGCCATCGGTTGCCAGTATGGTCTGAAATGTATTCTATAAAGAAGAAAAGTAATTTTGCTGATAACGTTTGGCTGGATCCAAAATATAAGTACTATTTAAAACGCGAGCAGGACTGGTCAGGAGTGCTTTATCAGATCCAGATATAAAACACGAGACAATATATATGAAAATACTGATAAAGCACGGAGTCCGACATTAAATGGCTTAAAAAACGATGCATCGCAAGCAATTAACATTCCAATCGAAGTGTAGTCCAGTGATCAAATTTCATACAGTGGCTGAGCCGACGAGCTTAGTGATGTCAATGAGCAGCTGACATACGCAAAGACGATCAGTCAAAAAGTCAAAATCCAGTGTTCTGATTGGTCGAGACACTTATTTCCATGGAAACAAGCAATTTTTTTCGATTTTGACACATCTGTGGGGAGTTCTGACCGATTTACAAAAGTCAAGGGCGCCCCATAGTCGGAATATCATTAATATTGACGCCCTGCAGTTTCCAATACATGTCAGTGTTTTAAAGTAAAAGCTATTTGACTAAAAAAACTAATTTTTTGCACAAGCCATTGTTTCCTCTTTGAGTAATTTTAACCCTTCTCTTCACGTTACCATGACAACATGACGTCACCATCTATATGTCCCATATCAACAAAAAAAAGCCGTCTTAGCGGACAAATAACCACGGTGACCTACATTTTTTATTGCAGAAAATACATTGTTTTGAAGTTTTGAATCTTTTTTGAAAGTTATGTGAAAATCGCCAGTGTAGTTTTCGAAAAACTGAATTTCAGCCTTTAAGATTGCATTTTAGCCTTCGGAAAGGCTGAAATACAGTTTCTCGAAAACTACACTGGCGATTTTTAAATAACTTTCAAAAACGATTCAAAACTTCATAGCAATTCTGCAATAAACACCGTGGTTATTTGTCCGCTAAGACGGCTTTTTTTGTTGATTAGGACCATGTAGATGGTGACGTCATGTTGTCATGGTAACGTGTAGAGTAGCGATTGTGGGTTAAAATTACTTTTTTATACAAGAGATTTACAATGGCTTGTGCAAAAAATTAGTTTTTTTAGATTCAAATAGCTTTTAGTTTAAAACATTGATTAACTATATATTAACAACATGGCGGCGGATGGTTTAATTATGGCCTCAACTAAACTTGAAAATTTTAGTCCTGAAACTATTGATATGAACTCCATAAAGTTGTTAAACAATCAAGGTCATCTAGTTTATGATGGGATCCGTCTCAAATGGACAAACGACCTCTGTTCGTTAAGGACTTTTGCCGAAAATGTTGTCGGATTAACGGGCAAATGGACGTCGCCTGGCGGTAAAGCCAAACAGTTTATAAACTTAAGCTCTGATTTTATTATGACTTGGTACCCGGGCAAACAAAACTCTTTGACTTTCAATGGAAAGAAAGGCAAATCTTTCAAGGAATTTCTAGTGAGCGTATTAGACACAAATTGCGTTATTAAGCAAACAAATACGACCTTGTATAGTTTAATCCAAACAACTACAAAAATGTCGGTCGAAGGCGAACATATTGTTGGTAATGGCCGTGTGTTCGAGGACATGGCCCCTTTAACTCACAATTGTTCGTACAATACTCAAGCCAAAGATATGGGGTTTGAATCGATTGCTGACACTTCGTCACTCGAAGAACTTGAGGACTTCATTGATAGCGCATATTATATTGCGAATGTCGCAGCCACGCCGAATTTTGCTCAGACAGCCAGCTTTTCTACACCATTTCAACAACGAGCTGATGATATCCCGACTATAGCCGAGGCACAACTCCTTACATTTAAAGAAAAAATAGAATCGCAAATAGAAAAATTGTTGACTAAAGTGTCTGAACAAAATCATATTATTGACACAAATAAACAAGAGCTGTGCCGATTAGGAAACGAGAATTCGAATTTAAAGTCACGCATTACCGACCTAGAGGAGAAAATGATGATTAAAGACTCGGCTTCCATAACCTTTTCAAGTCCCTCAAAGCCATCTTTACAAGATAAGAAGTCCTTTAACAGTCCTGACAATCTAAATCCCCAACACGATGGATCAACTAAAATAAATCACCCATCTGGTGCATTATCAACCCCAGTTAATGTAGATAACCTGCCCGCTGAGGAAAGTTTCCCTACAGTTATCATTGAAATAAAGAACAATGCCCTATTATTCACACAACAATCTAAGACTACAATCAACTCCTTCAAAAAAGATTACTCATTAAGCCTGAACCGCGAGCCTTTTCAGGCTAAGAATGTTTTAAACTATTTGCCCTTATGCGAAGATCTAAGTATAATCGAAGATGTTTCTGCAAACCTCACTTTTGACGAAAATGAATTAGATCAGCGTGAGCAGGATTTATCCGATGGGTGTCAACATTTCAAGCAACGTGGGAAGCAAGGCATATGTAGGAATTGCGACCGATCCTATGCAAAAACCGTGTTAAGCCTTGATGCCCTTAACCCTGACCAGGTGAATCCCCGATCGGATAGGTCAATCAGCGAGTCAAATCTAAAGCATTCTTCGTTCCCTCATCTTCCAACCCCGAGACCCTCAAGTCTTAGACACGGTCAAGTTACAAACCCCTTAGGGTTTCGAAGGCACCATTGTAGTCGGTATCCTTTTTTAAAACGTTGCCGTGTCATTCCTTCGTATCGGACAGCCCACCGCCACCACTCTCTAGAGTGGTTGGCCCATCTCCACACAGTGGCCTGTTTGACGAGTCAGCAGCAGACAATATGATGAAAATACCTGTTAGAATCACTTCACGTCAGAGACCATCACGTCAGAGACTATCATATCAACAAACCATTAATAATTCTTCTAGTGTTAACAATAACTTGCAAAATAGAAATCTTGTTCGTGTTCCTTTGTCCAACCCTGCCTCTCCAAACGCTTCCGCACTCTCGTGGTCATTCACGTCGAAAACCACTAATGATACGGCCTCAGCCCATTTAACAAAAAAGTCAGATAACAGCCTCAGTACCCTTCCAGGTCTCAAACTGGTCCACCTAAACATCCGCTCTCTGAAAAATAACGCCCATTTTTTAGAATTACGTAAGTTTACCAAATTTAACAAAATTGACGTCCTTACAGTATCAGAGACATGGTTAAATACCTCCGTCACAAACAAGGAAATAGAAATCGAAGGTTATAAGCTACATCGTTTAGACCGACTGCACAAGAAAGGGGGCGGGGTATGTGCTTACATACGAAAAGATATTAAATCTCTTGTACTTAAAGACCTCAGTTATATCTCCGAGACGAATTTCCATCAATTATGGATCAAATTACAGCACAAAAAATCTAAATCACTGTTGGTCTGTGTCTCTTATCGACCCCCAGACAGCCCGCTTGACTGCTTCGAAAAATATTTTAAACCTAATTATGTTCATGCTCTGACGATGGGAAAATTGATCATTCTTCTTGGAGACCTAAACTGCGATATGTTTAAGCCCACACCTGGATCAGCGTCTTTGATCAAGACGACAAAAGAACTCAACCTTAACCAGTTAATAAAATCACCAACAAGAATTACTGAATCCAGTCAGACCCTCGTCGACGTTATTTTCGTATCCTCGCCAAGACTAGTAGTCAACAGCGGCGTCATAGAAACCTGTATCAGCGATCATTTCCCTGTGTATGTATCACTAAAACTTAAAACCGACAAATCTCCACCAAACTATATCACTACCCGCAGCTACAATAAATACGACCCTGATTTGTTCGCGATCGATCTGGCATCCAACCGTGATCGTCTTGTTTCCATTTTCAGAATGGACAATGTTGATGAAAAACTAACCATTTTTAATGAAATATTTTTAAATACATTGGATAAACACGCCCCAGTAAAGACCATAAAAGTACGCGGAAAATCTTGCCCATTTATCACCCCGGAAATAAAAGCATCCATGATCAAAAGAGACCAGCTCCACAGTCTTTTCAGGAAAACACGTGATCATTATGATTGGCTTAATTTCAGAGAGGCCCGCAATTTTACAAAAACCGCACTTGTTAATGCACAGAAAGAATATGTACTGAAGGAAGTTCAGCAACACAGAAACAATACTGGGTCACTTTGGAAGGTAATTAAAGAAAATATAGCGTATAGGGAAAGAGAGTCGGTGGTCTACAGTAAGGAACCGAAATTAGTGGCCGAAGAGTTTAATCATTTCTTTTCCACCATTGGTGTGAATGCAGCAAAGAAAGCCTCAACACTAATACAAGATCCTAGTGTTTATCCAGCTCGGAATCTTTCTGACGTAAATCGCACAGATAACAGCTACCCTGAAGAAAATGATAGATTTAGTTTCACCCCAGTCTCTTGTTCAGAAATAAGGAACATCATATTAGCTATGCCGTCAAACAAATCACCCGGCAAAGACAAAGTGAGTATGCGTGTCATCAAACACAGCCTACCGGTAATTCTTGGGCCCCTCACCGATATCATTAACTGTTCACTGTCGTCATCTTCGTTCCCTATAGCATGGAAAGAGGCAGAAGTTATCCCTTTGTTAAAGGATGGAAACCACGAGGAAGCATCAAATAACCGCCCACTTTCTCTCCTTACCTTTCTTTCGAAAATTTGTGAAAAAGTCGCCTTGAATCAATTTGGTTCGTATCTAATGAAGAACAAAAAATTGTCAACCCACCAGAGCGGGAACAAGAAACATCACTCATGCGAAACATTGAATCTTTTGACCGGAGATACTATCCTAAAGGCCATGGATGGGAAATTGGTTACTGCACTGATTCTAATAGATCTATCTAAAGCTTTCGACAGTGTAAATCATACTTTTCTCCTTACAAAACTTAGCAACGTCGGGGCTTCTCCAAGCGTTGTAAAATGGTTTGAGAGTTACTTGACCGGAAGAACTCAATCAGTCAGAATTGGATCAACTGTGTCTACTCCTCTCCCTGTTTCTTATGGTGTACCACAGGGTGCAATTTTATCACCTTTACTTTTTAGTATTTATACTAACGATTTGCCCTCATCAGTCCACCATAGTAAACTTGAATCGTACGTGGACGACTCCAAGATATTACTATCTTTCACTGTGGCTAACGTGGACTGTTTAAAGCAACAACTTGAGGAAGACTTGTATTTGATTGCAAACAGTTGTTCCGAAAATGAATTGCTTATTAACCCGGGAAAGACCAAATACATGCTGATTGGCACACGGCAAAACCTACAACAACTTCCCGTAGATATGACCATAAACTTCCTCAACGAGACTATTACCCCCGTCTCCTTTGCCAAAGATCTAGGAATGACAATCGACTCTTATTTGACATATGACCAGCACATCACCAACCTGGTTTCCTCATGTATGAATTCCCTGTGCCAAATAAACCGAGTCAAAAAATGTTTCGATAAAGAAGCTTTAACTCTCATCGTCTCGGCACTTGTAATGAACATTTTGTTCTATTGTTCAACGGTTTGGTCAAACACTTCGTCTACCAACATTAAGAAACTACAGTTGGTACAAAATTTTGCATGCAGGATAATAACAAATATTGGAAAGTTCGACCATATTTCGCCGGGCTTACGCGAACTTAACTGGCTCCCAGTAAAGGAACAATTACTACTGAGAGAGGCTATTATGATGTACAAATGTGTCAATGAACTTGCTCCACATTATTTGAGCGATTTATTCACAAAACGTTCTGACATTCATCAACGAGATACACGTAGCCATGACTCACTGCAAATACCATTGTACAAAACTTCTGCAGGTCAAAGGTCTTTTCATTATAGAGGCGTTACACTCTGGAATGATTTGGACATAAAGTACAAAAAGTTAGACTCCCTAAAAACTTTCAAAAACGAACTGAAGCGAAGCATGCTAGAACAAATATATAAGTAGATAATTTACCTTGTTAAACTTTATACAAATGTCTTACCTTTTTACCTTAATTTAAATTCTAGATTCTAAAACTTGTAAATAGAACAACATTTATTTTTTGTAAATCAGTGTTGAAAATCCCTATTTATGGAACACAATAAAGTATGTATGTATGTATGTATGTATATATTGGAAACTGTACGTAGTCTGCATATATGGAGCCTCCTTAGGCCATTACATTTCTTAATTAAACAACAAAATATAGTTCTAAAATAGAAAAACAGAGGCCTATTTTAGTCACCTTAATACGATTAATATACTGGAGTACCGTGACGGATATTTTGCCGATACCGACACCGATATTCCATGTCATTTCACAAAATTCAAAGACGACATCATCAAATTACCGATACCGATATTTCTAGTTTTGTGCCGATAAGCCGATACCGATACACCGACATGGATATCGGTGCATCACTATCATGCACAATGCACGCGCGCATTATGACCAATCAAATTACCTGTTATATCCCACTTATATTATAAACTATGTTATATACACAATATAGTTCAAAGAATCATTGTTAAGGTTAAGGCGTGACTTTAATTCTAATTAATATGTCCTCAAAAAGAATCTAAACATTTTGCCCAGTAAATTTCGTTGTTATTTTAGCGTTTCATTTTTGGCCGAACGGTGGGTGGTCAAAATTATCATATTATAGAAATGGCAATTAAAGTTGATTCGGAGTCACATAAAAACTTCTTCTACCCTCTTTACGTTTGTAAATAATTTCATTTGCAATCTTACATTTGGAGAGGAACTTCCACCGAAGCGAGCAACATTCAACCACGATACGATCAGGACCCATTTTGCTGAAAACCGTCTTTGACGAACGAAATGCCTTCTAATTTCTTCAGAGACTCGTGTTCGAATAGCAAGATCCTGGGTTTGTCTGTAATATACAACACCACCCTTCGTAGTATCGACATCCGCCCAGAACGGTGCGATGAGACGGCGATCACTCCCAAGTGGAAACGGATCTGGTGTGTATTGTGAAACCTGGCGAAGGAAAGAGATCACCCCATTCGTGTTTACCTAGAAATGAAAATATTTGGCAAATTATAATTAATGGTTGGTTATTCATATCGAGTGCTCTTGTCACAGGAGTTGATTGTCTTGTACTTAAGAGAATGGCTTTTATTTTATTCTACTTCATGCAAAGTTAGTCCATCCAAAAGCAACGCGAGCCTGCTGCAAGCTATTTGTTTCGTAAAAGGTTTTGATTACGAATGTTCTCTGTTTAGGGATTAATTGAACCATGTTTAAGGGACGTTCTTATTGAGTTATTGTCTCACTGAGACGAAGAGTGAGGAGTTGAGCTCATTTTAGAATTTAACAATCAATTTTAATTCTCTCTTGGGAATTGTGTATGTTTCGTTTCCACACGCAATTTCCAACGGTGGAAGAATGAGATTTTGACAGGCAATTTTTATTTGACGAGTATGTGCCCATTTCTCATCGTTACAATTTAGGAAGAATATCATTGAAAAGCTAAATAACTGTTCTTTCATTATATATATATATATATATATATATATATATATATATATATATATATATATATATATATATATATATATATATATATATATATATATATATACAGGGTGTATAAAAAAAAACTGAACAGATTTGAAATTGCTCTCAATTTCGCAAAACACCTATTTGTATCTGTTTTTTAATATATATAGCTTCTTTGGGT